AAAATCTAAATACATGGTTAGATTCAGCATATCAAAGAACCCCATATATTCAATTTTTGTTGAAATCAAACAAAGTTTAATTTTGGACCCCGATTTGGACCAACTTGAAAACTGGGCCCATAATCAAAAATCTAAATACATGGTTAGATTCAGCATATCAAAGAACCCCATATATTCAATTTTTGATGAAATCAAACAAAGTTTAATTTTGGACCCTTTTGATCTCAATGTGGACAAAGTTGATAACGGGGCCCAACAATCAAAAATCTAAATACATGGTTAGATTCAGCATATCAAAGAACCCCATATATTCAATTTTTGTTGAAATCAAACAAAGTTTAATTTTGGACCCCGATTTGGACCAACTTGAAAACTGGGCCCATAATCAAAAATCTAAATACATGGTTAGATTCAGCATATCAAAGAACCCCATAAATTCAATTTTTGTTGAAATCAAACAAAGTTTAATTTTGGACCCCGATTTGGACCAACTTGAAAACTGGGCCCATAATCAAAAATCTAAATACATGGTTAGATTCAGCATATCAAAGAACCCCATATATTCAATTTTTGTTGAAATCAAACTAAGTTTAATTTTGGACCCTTTGGACCTTTATGTAGACCAATTTGAAAACAGAACCAAAAATTAAGAATCTAAATACACGGTTAGATTCGGCATATCAAAGAACCCCAATAATTCAATTTTTGATGAAATCAAACAAAGTAAAATTTTGGACCCTTTGGACCTCAATGTGGACCAATTTAAAAACGGGGCCCAATATCCAAAAACTTAATACACGGTTAGATTCAGCATATTAAAGAACCCCAAGAATTCAAGAATAAAACCCCATTGAAATTGATCAAGAAATAAGCAATTTATACGAAGTATCTTCTTTTGCACAATACTGTGCAATTGATTATTTCTTGCTATTGCGCAATACTGTACAATTGACAATTTCTTGCTATTGCGCAATATTGTGCTATTGGATATTTCTTGCTATTGCGCAATACTGTGCAATTGAAGATTTCTTGCTATTGCGCAATACTGTGCAATTGAAGATTTCTTGCTATTGTGCAATACTGTGCAATTGAAAATTTCTTGCTATTGCACAATACTTATTATATAATAATTTACACATCCTGTTTGGTGTGTATCTCCTACCATATCATTATTATTTGCTTTTAAATATAAATCAGAAATAACCAACTTAAAATGGAAAATTTTAAAAGAAAAAAAAAAGGAAAAAAAGAAAAAAAAAAATCCCCCCCCAAAATTTTTTGAACCCCCTTATGATTCATCACCCCCAAACTCAATCTCAGCCTTCCCTTTGTGGTATGGTACCTTGCAGTACAATTTCAGAGAGATCCATACACTTGAACACAAGTTATTGTCTGGAAACTAGAAAAATGCTTATTTTTGGCCCCTTTTTGGCCCCCAATTCCTAAACGTTTCGGGCAATTACCCCCAAACTCAATTCCAGCTTCCCCTTTGTGATATGGAACCTTGTAGTACAATTTCAGAAATATCCAAACACTTACACACAAGTTATTGTCATGAAACTAGAAAAATGCTTGTTTTTTGCCCCTTTTTTGGCCCCTAATTCCTAACATTTTGAGGCAATTACCCCCAAAATCAATTACAGCCTTCCCTTTGTGATATGGAACCTTGTGGTACAATGTCAGAGAGATCCATACACTTACACACAAGTTATTGTCTGGAAGTTACAAAAATGCTTATTGTTGGCCCCTTTTTGGCCCCTAATTCCTTAACTGTTGGTACCATAACCCCCAAAATCAATCCCAACCTTCCTTTCATGGTATTGAACCTTATGGTAAAATTTCATGGAGATCCATTCACTTAAACTAAAGTTAGAGTGCGAAAACCAATGTGTCTTCGGACGACGCCGGACGACGACGACGACGACGACGACGACGACGACGACGACGACGCCAACGTCATACCAATATACGACCAAAAAATTTTCAATTTTTGCGGTCGTATAAAAAAGGATTAAATAAATGTGGATAGTGTCCACATGTGGACACTGATGATGCCCCCGCTTGCATATCATATAGTTATAAAGGGACATAACTGAAGAACGGTAAAAGTGACGCTACCCAAATTTGAACTTGATCTGAGTTTTGTGGTAATAAGCATTGTGTGTAAGTCTCATAACATTTGGTTGAGGCTAACTTAAGTAGAGAACAGAAACTAAAAATTCAGCAATTTTTCTATTTGTAAACACGCATAACTCTAGAACGGTTGTGTATAAGTTTTACAACATTTGGTTGAGACAAACTAAAAAATTCAGCAATTTTTATGTTTATAAAGGGACATAACTCTAGAATGGTAAAAGTGTTGCCACCTAATTTCGTACTTAATCTGTATTATGTAGTAATAAGCATTGTGTATAAGTTTCATAACATTTGGTTGAGGCAAACTCAAGTTAGAGAACTGAAACAAAAAAATTGTACTTGATCCTTACTGAGTTTTGTGGTAATGAATATTGTGTATAGGTTTCATAATGTTTGGCTGGGGAAAACTTCAGTTACAGAATGGAAACTAAAAAATTTTGCAATCTTTCTATTTATAAAGGGGCATAACTCAATAATGGTTAAAGTGACAATACCCAAATTCAACTTGATCTGTGTTTTATCAGTGGAAGTCAAAATTAAACATTGCATTGTATAAAGCAATGACTGTAGTTGATTCAACTATAATCATGTTCAAAGGAAGATAACTCCAATTTTAAAAATATATTATATAAACTTGATATTTAGAAGAAAATAAAAATTTAGCAATTTTTCCTTTTATAAAGGGGCATAACTCTAGATCGGTTAAAGTGACACCACCAAAATTCAAACTTGATCTGTGTTTTGTGGTAATAAGCATTGTGTATAAGTTTCATAACATTTGGTTGAGGCAAACTTAAGTAAGAGAACGGAAACTAAAAATTTTGCAATATTTCCTTTTATAAAGGGGCATAACTCTAGATCGGTTAGAGTGACGCCACCAAAATTCAAACTTGATCTGTGTTTTGTGGTAATAAGCATTGTGTATAAGTTTCATAACATTTGGTTGAGGCAAACTGAAGTTAGAGAACGGAAACCAATTTCGGGACGTACGTACGTACGTACGTACGTACAGACGGACAAGGGTAAAACTTAATGCCCCCTCCGCTACGGCGGGGGCATAAAAACAAAAACAAGTGGAAAATGGTGAATAAGAAACCCGATCTCAATAAATGACCGAAATTATTTCTCAAAAAATGGAGAATGTGTCCCCATGGACACAGATGATGCCCCCGCTTGCATATAACATTATAAAGGGACATAACTCAAAAACGATAAAAGTGACGCTACCCAAATTTGTACTTGATCTGAGTTTTAAGGTAATAAGTATTATGTATAGGTTTCATAATGTTTGGTTGGGGCAAACTTAAGTTACAGAACGGAAACTAAAAATTTTGTAATTTTTCCATTTATAAAGGGGCATAACTCTAGAACGGTTAGAGAAATGCTACCAAAATTCAAACTTGATCTGTATTTGGTGGTAATAAGCATTGTGTATAAGTTTCATAACATTTGGTTAAGGCAAACTTAAGTTAGAGAACGGAAACGAAAAATTCAGCAATATTTCCATTTGTAAAGGGGCATAACTCTAGAACAGTAAAAGTGACGCCACCAAAATTCAAACTTGATCTGTGTTTTGTGGTAATAAGCATTGTGTATAAGTTTCATAACATTTGGTTGAGGCAAACTTAAGTTAGAGAACGGAAACCAATTTTGGGACGTACGTACGGACAAGGGTAAAACTTAATGCCCCCTCCGTTACAGCGGGGGCATAAAAATATGGCAACCTTCTACATATTAGACAGCCAGCAAAAACCACAAAATTATCTTATCATGCACTTAAGTACTTAAACTTTTGTACATTGCTTTTCTGAATTCGACAACTGGCCAGTTCAATTTGAAATCCACTTGAATCAATGTAAATTTATAAAGATGACCTGTTGTTGAAAAAAATACCCAATGGATGATTTTTTTCAGTGGTTTATGTTAGCTGTTATGTATGTAAAAGGCCTAGGTTACCATAGCTAAGATGCAAGCCTACAAAAGATAGTGCATCATGTGCAATGATCTTCATGTAACAACTTCCCTGGTCTCAATCCAAAAACTGTCAAGCGATCTGGTAATCATATATATCATAATCAGTACCCCTGTCCAGGATTGTTCAAAATGTTTTAACTTCTTACAGCAGTGTACAGGTGAAACTTAATACACATTTTCCGTTTTACAGGAAAATAATGTTATTTCATCTTAGATTTTATGTATAAAAAATTCCCAATTGGGATGAAAATTCCCCAATTTGATGGTCAAGGGACCCATTTGAAAACACCTGGAATCATCCCTGCGTATGTAGTGGACTGAAACATGTGTGTTCTAATATATTGGTAAACAATACTTATCTACTTAGGGATATGGTTTGGTTTTCAAATGAGCCATTTTATTGTTCCTCCCTTTGAACATATTGTCATGTACAAAATTAAACTTTTAAAAAACATTTGAACAAGTTCAATGTTACTAAAGTGTGTGTAAAATATTGAAATTTCTAAATTCTATAAACTTGTGTGTAAAGATTCTAACAGTCAACATCAAACAGCTTCTCACAAATGAGATAAATCTAGGAATTGCCTGCTGTCAGCAAAAACTTTTTTTTGAGCAAACCTAACAAGCTAAACACAAATTTTTACTAGTTAGACTTGCTGTGTATTGGACAAGTGGCTACACATGCTACAGTTTCTGACATAACTAGAAAACTGAAAAGTACTCTCTGAAACATGTTTATCACTTGTATGACAAAGTCTCTGAAGACACAAATATAACATGTGTATACAAATTAGATGTTTTCTGATGAAGAGTCATTTTGTTTTTGTTGTTAATGCTGAATAGCACCATATCTTTAAGATTGATTACAGTACTTATGAATAGCCACTAACCTGGAGTCTGTTGTTGTGCAATTTGTCTTTTTATCACCTCCTGCAACTGATGTAATGTCTGCAATGCTGTTGAAAAAATATATATGCATTTAAGTCACCATGTTATATAGAGCTTGTTTCCCTAACCTGACATTTTTGACAAAAAAAAATATATTAGACAATCTAACAAGATTATTTGGTGACAATAGGTGGTGGGTATATCTCCATTCAAATTTTTTTTTTGTGTACATGTCAGATTTTCTCAATCTGTTATGGTTTTCAAGATAAAAAACAATTTATGCATTGTACCCTTATGTTCTATTTTTAGCCATGGTAGCCATGTTTGCTCAATGAACAGAAAAAGAAATCCACACAAACTTCGTAACATACACTAAGGATCATTCACCCAAAGTTTTGGTGAAATTCAGAGGAGATCTTTGAACTAGAGGCTTTAAAGAGCCCGCGTTCCACACCTAGGTGTATGTGCATATTCACAATGGATACTCTCAAACATTGTGGACTAGAATAGAATTCATGAAAATAAACTGTTAACACAGAGATATGTCTCGCCTTTTTGTAATTTTGATAATGCAAATGTTGAAAATAAATAGCAATACTTTAACATGTAAGTTATGCAAATATTTAAAGTCAATGAACAATGACTGAAGGAATATAGCTAAAAATCTCCATGGAAATGAGATGTGTCAATGCTAATACAACTGCATACCAAATACCATTAACTTATCATAAGTTGTTCCCTTTAAACAAACCTAAACACAAACATTAACTTGTAAACTCTGTAAAAGTTTCAGAGTCAATGAACTATATAATCTCCATGGATACGAGACTTGCAAATGCCAATTAATTTGCATACCAAATATCATTGACTTAACATAAGCGATTCATCTTAAACTGATCTAATCACAAACTAATTCATGTAAACTAAGTCAATAGACAATGACTGAGGGGGGCAGTGCCAAATAATCTCAATGGAAATGAGATGTGCCATTGCTAATACAACTGCATACCAAATATTATTGACCTACCACTAGTGGTTCACCATAAACTAGACCTAATCACAAACTAATACACTGTTGACGCCACTGCTGGATGTCTCACTTTTTGACTCTGTCAAGGTGAGACAAAAATCTCTTATTTGATCTTGTATTGCTGATAATTTTTTCTGCTTAGTTTCCCTCTATCTTCTTAAATTTTTGCCAAAAAAACAAAAAGGGTAAACATTTGTCATTTAAGGGCAATCATTCCTATAGAGAGGCTACTAAAGATTTGGGCAAAATTTGACTTATTTGTAAATTTTGTCTTGCTGATCATTTTATTCCTGTTCATAGTTTCTCTCTATCTATTATAATTTTCAAAATAAAAGGCGAAAATAAAAAAAATTAGTAAAATTGGTCATTTAAGAACAATAACTCCAATAAGAAGTTGTCTGACAGTTTTGATGTAAAAGAACAATAGGTGGATCTCATCATTCTGAACATTTCTGCCAAGTCAGAATTGCTATTTCGAGGGGTTTTCAAGATAATAGACAAAACTTGCATTTTACACCTATGTTCTATTTTTAGCCACGTCGGGCATGTTGTTTAAACTTAATACCCTAATAATGATTGCGGACAAGTTTGGTTAAATTTGGCCCAGTAGTTTCAGGTTTTTTGTAAAAGTTAACGGATGCCAAGTGATGAGAAATTTAAGCTCTGTGGGCCAGATGAGCTAAAAAATATATGACAGAAACAAATAAATGGGGAATGTGTCCATGGGACACAGGTGATGCCCCCACTTGCATATAATGTTATAAATGGACATGACTCAAAAACGGTAGCTTACAAGTATTATCATCTGCATAAATTTATTATAAAATTCATAGCAACTTTAAAAAAAATTTAGTTCGAGTAACAATGATATTGACACAAAAATCAATACTCTTCTTTCCCTTCTTTACACCATCGATCTGTTGTTCCCTTTCAATCAAGCAACAGATTCTCAAGTTACTATCCAGAAGAATGGTAAAACTAAATGTATATGCTCCTAAATTTTTTTTCAGGGAGCACAATAAATGAGGACATGTATCTACCTTTATTTGTTAAGTCCTGATTGTTTTGGACACCACTGAGTTGTGTAATTAATTGTGGCAGAGCTGATATTAAAGGGCCTGAAGTACTAGTACTTGGTATCCTTGACGACAGGTTAAGTGATCCAGGAGTGGTGACGGAGGCTGGCGTGGATACTGGTCCTAGCTGTGGGGTACCAGCACAACTAGACTGTCGAGAACTGGTAGGTGTACTACTGGGTGATATGTCCATATCCTCATGATGCTCTGAAATATAAAATATTTATCAAAAATGATTAAATTGGTAAATTGCTAATTGATATATAATCAATGCATTATACATATTAGGTTATTAAGTTGTCATTGTTACTTAAAAATCACATTTGCTGATATTAAGTGGTCACTGTGAAGCAGAGTGAATGCTCATTATTGCAGGTATTAACACTCTGATTTTAAGTGAATCACTGTGGAACAGAGTGATTGCTAGTAATTATAATTGAAGGTGAAAACACACTGGTGTTAAATATAAGTGAAACAGCGTGTTTGCTCAGATATAAATTGTCCAGACGCCTTATAATCATTCTATCAAGGTTCTCATTAAGGAGCATGATTTTCTCTCCGGATGCTCAGTTAACGTTGGACACATCCTGTTATTAAACGCTAGCTGAATTCTGTATAAATCATCAAGATTCACCTTCAGCTGCCAAAAAAGTGTCCCAAAACATGATTGTTGTCAATATTTTTTTTATCAGAAAGTGACTTCCAAAAATAAATGATGCTATCATGATCATGTGACTGCCCTATGCTAATGGTATAAAATCGAAGAGATCAAAATGTGTTTACAGTTAAGCATTGTGTGTTGAGTACATGTTTAACAGCAATACAGTTGTCACGGGAAGTTAAATAATTATCAAGTGTATTTAAACTGATAATTAAGTTTTGTAACACACTGGAAATAATGTAAACGATTGTAGGTAAAGTATAAATAAGGGTAATATTTCTAATTCAATGCATTAGACAGAAGGAGAATATATTGAAAATAAACTGAAACTTGAATTAAAATCATATGAAGTTGAACATGTTGAAAACAAATTGCAATATTTTCAATTTATACAAAACTCTATTACTTGTAAATTTCCATTGCTTGCATTTTCAGTGTGATAAATAAAACATGCAAAAACAGCACTTTTTCAATTTTGTGCATCCAAATAGCTTTTCTGAATTAGCCTTCATCAGGAATGGTCACACTCAAAACATTTTGAAAGCAATGGATCATGATAAACAAAACCAAAACATGTGAAGAGCAAAATGATCAAAAGGGACATAAATGAAAGAAGAATGCATCTGTGGACACCAATGCCCCCCTCAAGCTTGCTTATATTACGTGGAAATACTTTTGAGAGCATTTGATGTCACTGCTTGTTCGAGTGAGGAAACGAAACAATTTGAAATTTTCCAAGTTATAACAAGGCATAACTCTTAAACAGTCATTGACTCACTGCCGAAATTTTAACTCTGTCAGCAAGTTTTGGTTTTTAGCATTGTGTATGAGGTTCATAAAATTTGCATTAGCAAACTTAAGCATGTTAAGTAAGAGTGTGGAAATGAAAAAAATCGCAATTTTCCAAGTTTTAAAGCACATTAACTCTACACGGTAAGTGACTCACTGCTCAAATTTGAACACTTTATTGGAGTTTTTGGTTCTTAGCATTGTGTATGAGTTTCATAAAATTAGCATGAGGCAAACTTAAGAGTGTGGAAAAGAAAAAATTTGCAATTATCCAAGTTATAGGTGTAATACCACCAAATCATAGTACGTCTTCAAAGCACCATTCTTTTTCTATTTGGTGTTTCTATAAAATATTTTGAAACTTGAGGTTACATGGTTACTAAAGCTTGTAAACAGGAAAAAAAGGGGTGAACAATTTGATTGGTTATATTCCAGTGATGGTTATTATCTTATATGCAATGAAATGTTATGTGAAATTTTGTCTGCAATATTGGACAGGATAAAACTTTACTCATGCCAAGTATTTCTTTATTTGAAACAAATAAAAATTCTGCACCGTCTTTTGAAAAGTGACAATGTAACAAAGACTAATAAGGGAAAATCAATGGTGGTATTACTCCTTATAACATGTATAAAGGGCAGTCAGGGGTAATACTTATAGAAGTGTATTTTATTTACTGGTACATGTAAATTATTTTAATGGTATAGTTATATCCCTTAGACATTCAGATTTTTTTTACTTATACATCCTTTTTTCTTGAATGTCTCTTGACTCCTTTGCTCTAATAGAGTGCTTAATTGTACATGTATGTCCTTTACAAATGTCTTTACTAATCATATAAGTATATTTTCATGGGCAATGGAAATCTCTTGTCTGTTATCTTCAAAATACTGCTCATTTACAAGCCTCCAGGGAGCACTATTTGAAGGCCTTGCTGCAGTTACTTAACATCTTTGCGCAATTTATTTCTTTGTTGAATTAGTGAGATGAAAGGTTGAATTCTAATTAAAAAATATTAGCAAACCAGAGAAAATTTGTTTCAAGCATGTTTCTACCTCCCAAAATTTGAGAATTTTAGGGTTTGTAAAATTTGGATGAGGAAAACTTGGTTGATAGTGTGGAAACGAAAAACGGGATGGATGGAAAGAAGGAAGGATGGTCAATTTATGTAAAACAATTAAAAGAAAACTAATGGCATGATTTATAGCACTTTATTAATTTTGTGCTTCCGAAAAGCCAAGGATGTATACACATGAAGAGCTATATGTCCAAAAAGAGACCTTAATAAATAAACAGCTGCGCTATGAGCGCATGATATGCCCGTCGTCTTGTGTGTGAATTTTTATGCAATAAGCATAAATAGTTTCTGACATACAGCGTGACATGCGAAAACCCCCCCTTTTTTTTACAAAATCTCTAAAATAAAATTTTGAATCAAAACCAAAAAGTATACAGATCTTTAGATTAATATAACTAAGAAGTGTGTAAAATTTTAAGCAATAATCATAAATCGTTTTTGAGATACGGCGCGACATGTGAAAACCCCCCTTTAAAAAAAAAAAAATCAATGTCTTAAAAATAAAATTTTGAATCAAAACCAAAAAGTATACAGATCTTTAGATTAATATAACTAAGAAGTGTGTAAAATTTTAAGCAATAATCATAAATCGTTTTTGAGATACGGCGCGACATGTGAAAAACCCCTCCCCCTTTTTTTACAAAATACTCAATAACTCAAAAATAAAATTTTGAATCATCACCAAAAAGTATACAGATCTTAAGGTTATATAGCTAAGAAGTGTGTAAAGTTTTAAGCAATAATCATAAACAGTTTTTGAGATACGGCGCGACATGTGAAAAACCCCTCCCCCTTTTTTAACAAAATACTCAATATCTCTAAAATAAAATTTTGAATCATCACCAAAAAGTATACAGATCTTAAGATTAATATAACTAAGAAGTGTGTAAAGTTTTAAGCAATAATCATAAATTGTTTTTGAGATACGGCGCGACATGTGAAAAAAAAACACACACCTGTTTTAGTTACCAAGTCCTGTAACTCAAAAATTTTTAATCTTATTTTTACCAAAAAGTATACAGATCGTTTGACCATCATAAGAAACAACTATGTTAAGTTTCATGAAATTTGGATAAGTCATTCTCAAGTTACGATGCGACATGTTTACGCCGGACAGACAGACGGACGGAAAGACGGACATTTGTATACCATAATACGTCCTGTCAAAAATTTGACGGGCGTATAAAAATAGCCAAATTCCTCGAAGGTCAATCTTTCTTGAGGGAGTTGGAACCTTAGACTTAGTTTCTGAATTATTGAATTAATCAACAGCATTGCACTTTAAAGAACAGCATACCGATTTCCCCCTGCTTTGCACATATTTCATACATGTGTCATATGGCCAAGAGCAATTAGTAAAAAAAAAATTCTTTTAACTTTTTTATAAATCTAACATGATTTACTCCTTAAAAAAGGAATTTAGAATTAAATTATAAGGACTGACTGTAATATTTGTTCTGTCTATTCAAAATAACCTAAACTAGAGGCTCCCAAGAGCCTGTGTCGCTGTGATTCTACTTTGGTTTTGGAAATCATGTAAAAATAGACTAAAATCATAACAGATACCCTAATAATGATTGAGGCCAAATTTGGTTTAATATTGGCCCCGTAATTTAATCAAAAGCAGAAGACTTTTGTAAAGTTTACAGAAATTACCGATAAATTCATTGAAATTGTAGAAAATGACTTTATAAGGACAATGACAAATCAGCTACAAAGTAAAAACACTTGGTCAGCACCTCAAAAGAAACATTCATACCATGTTTGGTTTCAATCCATTAAGTGGTTTTCTAGAAGAACACATTTGTATATATTTCCCATAGGGTCCTTTCTTAAACTAAGTCCCCTGTTGGCAGCCATCTTGGTTGATGGATTTGCTACAAAGTAACAACACTTGGTCAGCACCTCATAAGGAACATTCATGCCATGTGTGTTTTCATTCCATTCAGTGGTTCTTTAAAAGAAAACATTTGTATGTATTTCCCATAGGGTCCTATGTTAAACTAAGTCCCCGCTGGTGGCCATTTTGGATGATTGATCGCCTACATGTACAAAGTTACAACACTTGGTCAGCACCTCATAAGGAACATTCATGCCATGTATTATCATTCCATTTAGTGGTTCTCTAAAAGATGACATTTGTATGTATTTCCCATAGGGTCCTATGTTAACTAAGTCCCCCTCTGGCGGCCATCTTGGATGATGAATCGGCTTCAAAGTAACAAAACTTGGTCAACACCTCATAAGGAACATTCATGCCATGTTTGGTTTCATTCCATTAAGTGGTTCTCTAAAAGAAGACATTTGTATGTATTGTCCATAGGGTACTATGTTAAACGAAGACCCCCGCTGGCGGCCATCTTGGATGATGGATCACTACAAAGTAACAACACTTGGTCAGCACCTCATAAGGAACATTCATGCCATGTTTGGTTTCATTCCATTCAGTGATTCTCTAGAAGAAGTTCAAAATGTAATAAACTGCTTCGCTGAGCGCAGCTAGATACGCCCGCAGAGGTCCAACCCTGAACAGTTGGGGCAAAAATGGACACAATATTCAAGCTTGATTCAGGTCTGACTTTGGATTGTAATTAAATATTTGACATATTATAGGTTTCTGAATAAATGTAGTCAAAGAACTTGAAATTGGTTATATGAATTGAATTTATATTCACTTA